ATCTTTAGTCAAATGCTGCTGCTTCCTTGGTGAGGTCTTCCCTGACTACATTTTTTTTTAAAGCTTTTAGTCCCTACCCTTCTGCTTATCCCTCTTCCCTACTTCTATTTTTCTCCTTGGACTTAACACCTGTGCATACAACATATTTTATTGATTGATTCTATTTATTGATTTCATCAAGCTCTACGAAGCAACAACTTTTGTCTATTTCTCAAAGTGCTTTATTCCCAGCACTTAGAACATTGCCTGGTACATAGTAGGTATTTAATAAATACTAAATAAATAAGTATATAGTCCCAAAGAATCAGAATTTTGGACAGCTTTTGAGTCGTGTAGCATCAGCCTGGAAGTTTCTTAGACCACTTCATCTAACTGCCCACTCCCATTTGACAAGTGGTATGACTGACACGCAGAAGGAAAAGGACTTTCCCAAAGTTATAGCGGGAGTTAGTTTAGTCAGAAATCAGCAATTTAACCCATAGAATTAGGGAGGCTTCCATGGGCTGTTTTCTTGGGACCTATCCTCTACTACAAGAAAGCCCTTTCCTTCCTACAAGGAAGCACAAAGCTGAGTTCCTCACATCCCCTACCCCACCCATCTGTCTTCTTAGGCTTTCTACCCTGTATCTGGCAGGGCTGGGGTTCGGGTTTGACCCCAAGGCAGTGTTGTTCCAGCTTTAAGAGGGCTCTCTTCAGAATGCCCTGCCCTGTGGCTCTTTCTTGGGGGTGGAAGAACAACTATGGTTGAAGGAGATTATGAGCAACTAATGGTCATGAGGAGAAGGTAGGGGTCATGAAGGGTAGGGGGTAATATGGTAGTGAAGAGTAGCATATTGAATGCCTACTTTGTGCCAGGCCTCACACCAGCCATTTTACATAGGACATCTCATATTCTGTCATTATCTTTAACACTTTGAATAAGTATTCTTTTCCCCATTTTACAGATAAGGAAGCTGAAGCTCAGAGAAGTGACTTGCTTAAGATTACATAGTAAGCAACAGCAAAGATTCAGATCCAGGTCTGTTGGCCAATAGAGTCTGAAGACTTTCTTTTAAGTTCCATCTCCAGCTTGCTCTCTGGGGACTCTAACTCTAGACTGGGTCTCAATCAGGGGTTCAGAGATGAAGGCTCTTATGTACCCTGGAGGAGCAGCAGGTCTAGAACAGGCCATGGCAAGCCCAGAACTGTGGGAAGAGTATCAGTGCACTCCAGTACTACCTGGCCCAGGGCCTCCTTTCTCTTCGTCCCAAGCCTGTAGAGCTGGGCTTATTTTCAGGGCTGGACAGACATTTCCCCCACGGAGTATGGATGGTCCACAGTTAAGCCAAATGGAGGCCCCTCCTGCATGTGGGAGGAGAGGGGAAAGGGGGAAATGGAGTGGAGCAGCCTTCCAGAAGGGATAGCTTTGCTGAGTTTCAGCCTAATATCCTGGAGCTATTCCTAGGTAGATTGTGGTCAGTGGAATTATGCTTTTATCAGGCTGCTGGGAGTTTCAATAAAATCTTTATAGCCGGGAAAGTTCTCTTTATGGAAATCAGATTATTGAAGTGCCTGCTGGGGGGAGGGCTTCACCAGCCTGCCTTGCTCCCCACTGCCTCCCTCCTCCCCTTGAGAACAGCTTCCCCACTCAGCTCCTTTCTTCCCTTCCCATTAGGCCCCCGGCTCCCAGGAAAATTTGAGCTCCTCATGCTGAAACATGAAGGGGGCCTTGGCAAGGAGAGTGGCACTGAGAGAGCATATCAAAGGTGTTGGTGAGATTGCAAAATTAATGTTGCAAAATAGCCCATTCTTATTCCCCCACCATCACCTCCATTGAGAAGCCCTGGTTTTGCCATTTCTGGGTCAATATTCTCTGCTCGTGGCTCAGTTTGTTGGCAGGTCCCAGAATCTGGTCCTGAGCACACAGCTGAGCCTCCCCCTTCCACCCTGTCCCATCCTCCATCATTCCCAACCCTGCCCATCTGTCTAGAAAGCCTTCCTGCCTGACAACCCATGGGGCTGGGGTTGAGCTATAACTCCCAGGCAGTGAGTTAGTTGTTCCAGCTCTATGGAGCCTTTCTTGGGAGTGCCCTGCCCTGTGGCTCTTTCTTGGGAATGGGTCGGCAACTATAGCTGAGGCCCCCTCACACTCTACCCCATAAACCGCCTGTTTGGGGAGGACCTGCCCTACAAGGTTTTCCTTGTGGCTTTCTGGGAGGTTTTAATTTAGTAAAAGGAAAGTGGTTTGGACCAAATGGTGTCTTTCAGGGCTAGAGTTTTTTAAAAGCCCCCTGAAATTTGGTGCTTTTGCCTACTCAAGTTCTTCACTGCCTACCTCCTAACATTGTTCCAGCAACATCTTCTTCTGCTGGATGTCTAGGTCAAGAGACAACATGTCTTCTGAGGAGAAGAGACCTGAAGAGGCCAGAGTCTTTGTGCTCAGCCTTTTGAAGGGCTGTCATGGGGCAGAGGAAGTGGATGTGTTCTCTGTGGTCTAAGTAGTAAAGCTAAACCAGGCCCTTGCTAGTATTTTTACTCTATTATTATATGGAATCATCCCAACAATTTAAGGAGTATTGTCCCCATTTTATAGGTGAGGAAACTAAGGCTCAAGTCTATACAGCTATGACATGGTAGGGCTGCCTTTCAAAACCAGGTCATCTAACATCATAGCTAGCATTCTCCACATCCTACTGCTCTGACCAATGGACAAAGTAGGCAGTGTTGTGTTCAATGCACACAGCTCATTGAAGCCATCACAACCAGCATCCCCAACCCCACTCAGGCACTGCACTGTAAAGGCTGAGCTGTGTATACCCTCAGGCTGCTCGCAGCAACTGCTTGGAAGCTACTGTTTAACTCCACATCTCCTCTACCCTGACCCCATCTAGATTCCTGGCCTGTACCGCAGCTCCACATCTGCCCCTGGCATTCCCTTTCACCTAGGGGCAACACTCATTCTCCCCAGTGGACTTGCCCTTATACTTTCCTTACTTTGGACATCTCAGAACTGAACCCAGCCCAGGTAGTTTGCCCTCTGTTCCCATCCTGTCTACCCCTGCCCTCCTGATTTGACAATAAGGAAGAATTTTCTAACAGTCAAAGCTGTCCAAGGGTAGATGGGCAGGGCCAACTGCTCAGCCCCAGGCATTGTCTGGGGGGCCGTCCAAGCTGGGAATCCTTCCAACAAGTTCTGTTGACTTAGGTATTCATTTTCCTATGTGAACCCTTCTATTATTATTCAGTTTTGCACTCAGCCTCTCATTTCCCATTCTTTATCTCTCTTTCTCCACCAGTCTCTGTCTTTTTATGCCTCTTTATTTTTCTCTTTCAGTCTCCTTGTATCTTTCTCTGTGTATTTTTACTTCCTCTTACTTCTCTCCACCTCTCTGTTCTGTTTCTGCTTTTCTGTTTCTGTCTTCTTTCCCTTGGTCCCAATCAGTCTCTCTCCCTCTCTCTCTGTCTTTCTCATATTTCCCATCTTTCTCTGCTTCTCTCTCTGCCTCCCCTGCCCCACCCCCTCCCTTCAGAGCCTTCCCTGACTAAGGACCTGCTCTACTTGGCACAGCCTGCCTTCCTCAGTTTTCTACAAAGGAACCACCTATTTGATTTGTGTTTCTCCAGTCTCAGACTGTGACCTTAGCAGCTGATATTGGGGGGTTAGGTTTGTGCAAAATCATCTTGGCCCCTGAGAAGGTGGAGGAAGCCCTGGGTCCTGCAACTTCTTTCCCCCAAAGGGGAAGTAACATCTTTGGCTTCCTTCAGGCCCCAGCAGGAGCTCCTGGCCTACTCAGAACTCGAAGAACTCAGTAATGAGTCAATGACACTTAAGAGGCCCTACCTTTGAGTCTGGCTCCACCACAGACACCCTTTGTCCATATCTAGATGTCACACATCCCTGCTGGTACTCACTTCAGTTTTGGCCTCAACCTCATTCAGAAGAACTTGATGCTTGCTCCTGAAGGAGCATAAAGAAGCTCAGTAGAATGTGGAATGGCTACCTGGGAGGGAGGTGGGAGGAAATGTCAAGAGATGAGACTGGAGAAGTAGGCTGGGACCAAGCCAGGTAAGAGTCTGCACCTAATCTCGAGACTGCTAGGGGGATAGTAAATGTTGTTAAGCAGAGGAAGGGAGATGATTTCTCTGTAATTTATAAGATCACTCTGGATTATTGAAAAGCAAGAATGGAAGCAAGGAGACCTTTAAGAAGGCTGTTAATGTAGTCTAGGTGAGAGATGATGGAGGCTTGGACCAGGATGTAGCTATGAAGAGAAGTGGACTTTTTCTCGTATATTTAGGATGTGGGAGCAATGGGGGTTTGTGGTTGATTAGTTATAGGCATGGCAGAGAGGGGAATGTGAAAGCAGACTCTGGCTGGCACAATTGGGTTGCTGTTGATGCCCATTATTGGCCCAAAGTCACAAGTGAAGACACAATTTGGAGACCAGTTGAATTCTAGATTGGCCATGTGGAATTTGAAGTGTTCATGGGCCATCGAGATTGAGATAGTGGTCAGGAAGTGGCAGACCTTGGAGCTCCACTCCAGACCTAGATATATGGAGATATTGGCAAAAAGACAGTTACTGAAGCCACAGGAGTGGGTGAGCTGACCTAGAGCAAAAGCATGGCATGAGAAAAAAAGAGAGCTAAGGATAGGGTCTGGGGAAACTTTCAGGAATGAGTAGTGCAGGAGAAAGTCTGTCAAGGACACTGATCAGAATTGGATCAGAGAAATAGGAAGTACATCTAGAAGGTACAGGGGCAAAAAAGCCAAGAAAAAGTATTGCCAAAAGGAGAGGGTAATCAACTGTGTCAAATGTTGTGAAGTCAAATATAGGGAAGAGAAAGTGTTCAGCAGATTTGGTGATTAAAAGGTCCTTGGCAACTTTCATTAAGAGCATTTTTCAGTACTGATGAGCATGGTAGCTGGACTGCAGTAGTTGAAAAGGTAGGGACAGCCCAGTGTATCTGCCCTAAATTCTGCTACATTCCATTCTCTTTAATTGTGTTTCTCTGTTTAGGAGTGAAGAGGAGCCAGCAAGCTTCCATTGTTTTCCACTATCCTCAGGTCTGGTTCTCCCTCCCCCCATTCCTCTACACACACACACACACACACACACACACACACACACACACACACACCAGACACACACTTCCTCACTTCTTTTTTGCTTCAGCAGGCTAAATTCTAGGACTCCCCCACCTTCCCCACTTCAGACTCAGAAATAAATTGCTCACTGCCCCAATGGTGAAACCTTATCTGCTCTGGTAAAAACGTGTGTCTGGAGCAGCTGAACTCCACGTTTCAGCCAAGGAGGTGAGCTGGCCGCTGGCTGGCTTACATGCAGTTTGGGGTGGGGGGCAGGGTTGGGAGATGGAGGGAGGACACAAAACAGAGATTGGGATAGGTGTGAGGAGCAGGCAAGGAGAGGGGAAAGAGGAAACAAGATGAAGAAGTGGGAAAGGGGGCAAGGAGAACTGTGAATGCAGAGGGGCTGGAAATGATGGAACAGGAACAACTTCCTGGAGCTACAAATTTGTGTTTAAATCTTATCTTCACTTCTTCCTACATCTGTGGAAAGTAACTTTCCTCTCCGAGCCTCAGTTTGCTCATCTGTAAAATGGTTTGAATAATAATACCTACCTCATTGGTACTCTTCATTAGGCAGAATATTTTATTATTATCATTCTTATTCTTATTTTGGGACAGAGCTGGTGTTGGGAGAAGGCAAAGCAACTTTCCGGAGACTTTGCCTGGGATAGGGAAGCAACTACGTAGGGCCCTGTACTCCCTGCTTGGTCTTCCAGGGAAGGATCAGAGGAGTCTGATGCTGGTAGTAAAAGTCAGCAGAGATATACTGAATAAGAATCAAAGAGTCGTCACTGGGCCCCAAGCCCAGCAGTTTGGTCCAAAGACAGACTACAGAAGGGAAGGCAGCCATCCCTGGGGCTAGAACTCTACCCACTAGAGCCCACCTCCCTAGCCACACAGAGGCTCATCCATTTTCAGGCCTGACGCTGGTGAGCCACAACCATAACTTTGCACAGAACCTCCGGCCAGCTGCTTGCCACATGCTGTCTGGGTTTTGGAGCGGGAAGCAGAGTTTCTGATGCCACAGGAGGGGCAGGGAGGACAGAAGAGCTCACCAGACTTGACCCCTGACCCCCGTCCCCATGGGCCAGATGTAGAGGTCAATCTTGCTCTCACGTCTTGTGCTGGCCATCCCTAGCTTCCCCTGCCCCTGAATCTGCAGGGTCCTGAGGAAACTCCAACCCATGTCTGCTCCCTTGTGATGACCACCCACCCCTACCCCTAACCCCACCCTCCTGCCCTGTCTGGAGGTTTCAGCAAAGGGATATCTACTGCTAAGGGGATCGTGACTGATTGGAGAGAATCCATCATGGCCTTAGGGTGGCAGGAAGTGGAGAAGAGGCTCACTCTTCAGGTTGGGAGGTGACACTTCCTCTTGATGGGCAGGGCAGGAAATTGGGGCCTGGACCAGCACAGAAGCCAAGCCAAGAGGGTGCCAGGGCTCCTCCAGGGGCTATGGGCTGGGAGGCAGCAGTGGCAGACTGTCTGGATGCAATCAAGCTTGGTATGACCTCATGGGGGAAAAGGGGGAGCCCCCAGAACTGAGTGCTTTGGGCCTTGCTCCCACCAGTGGGGGAGGGAGAAGAGCTGTGTGGGGATGAGATACAGAGTATTTAGTGGAGTGAGTGAGAAATATGAAGATGGACAAGTCAGAAGAGAAGGGAGAAGCTAGAGGGGCAGCTTCAGGAAAGTAACCATCATCAACTGACTTGGGAGAACCAGTCTAGGAAGCAGATGCTGGGAAAGAGCTCCCAGTCCCCACATTCATGGGTTCCAAGTGCAGCTCTTGCTTGGAAAGGCAGGGGCAGCAGCATGTGGCAGGGCAGGTTTTAGATGGGTTCTGGTCCCTGCTTATAGGAAAAGGTTGGTAAGCCAGGTAGCTGGCAAGGGCTCAGGTGGGAGCCCTACAGGATCCAGTGTGGGAAGACTGGGTCCTTATGGATGATCCTTTGAGGAGGTCTTCAGAATGGAACAGGAAAGGTAGAATTCATGAGGAAGTACAGAAGGATTGGTGAGGGGCTGAAGCTCAGATCCCATAAGAAGCTAATAAAGGAGCTGGAGCTTCATGGAACAGAGGAAATAAGGGAATATGATCTCTTTTCTCAGTGTTCTGAAGGGCTGTCATAGGCAGAGGGAGCAGAGAGAGCAGACAGTGTCTGTGTGGCCTAAGGGGGCAGATACTCCTGGGGGAAAGCCACAGGGAAACAGAGTTCTTCAGTTCAATCCAAAAAAGAATTTTCTCGAGAGCTGTCCATGCTCAAAATTGAGGAGGAGGGAGATAGTGAATGTTCCATCACTGAAGGCAGGTGAACAAGGACTGGATGTCCACTTTGTGGTGATTCAAAGAGTAGATGGAGGTGGTCCCTTGGCATCCTCTTGCGCCCTATCATGAGAATCTCTGGCCCCATGAACTAGATGGGTTACGTCTGTGAGGTGGAGTCCAAGGAACTAGCATTCACTCCTTGAGTTCTCCAAGGGGTTATGACTTGAGTCCGCACCTCCCAGACAGCTAGCTTGGTGGAGTAGCACCATGTAGCTATTTATTTTGTGGCTTTGCCATTCTCTCATTATCTGCCTCATAAGCTTCCAGCCTCTCACCAGCATCTCACCATACCAAGTACAGTGGACATCTTTAATACTTTTTTCATGTCACATGGCTCCTAATAGCTTCAAATGAGGCTCAACTCAGGAGGCAGTGATTGGTTTCAACTTCGTGGGTAATTGAAAAGATTCCCAAAGTAATTTTGACTATCTGCAATTGTGCCTTACAGGCCAACTTAAGACACTATGCCCTTGTAGGGCACTGCTCCACCAACTACTTGATAATTCTGCTAGGCACAAAACAGTGGGTTGGGGAAGGTGCTGTTGGAGGCTTGGTTAGAAAGGATCTGTCTCTGGAGGTGTGGTGCTTCCATCTTTCCCTTAACACAGGCCAAATTACCCTCCTGCATTTTCCCTGCTCCCCAGCTGGAGGTCCTGTTGGCTCTGCCTTCCAAAGAGATCCAGAATCTAATCATTTTCAAACCATTTCTTCACTTCTACTTTGGTCCAAACTACCATCATCTCTCATTGGGACAATACCAAAGCCTCCTTACTGCTTTCTCTTCATCCACTCCTGTCCTCCATGCTATCCATTTACCTCACAATAGCCATTGTGTTTCTGTCAAGATGTCAGATCTTGTCAATTGCCTGCTCAAAATCCTCCAATGGCTCCATTCTCCTCAGAATAAAAGCCAAATGACTTACAAGGCCCTATAGGATCTATCCCCAGGCCACCTCTCTGATTCATCTCACACTACTCGCTTCATTGTGCATTCCACTTTACCTTGCCCACTAACCAGAAACCCACTGAGCACATGCCCACCTCTATGCCTTTGCTCTTCACTCTACTGGAGACACTCTTTCCATATAACTTGATATAACATACCTTCATGTCCTTCAATCTCTGCTCCAGTGTCACCTTCTTGGAAAGGCCTTCTCCCTGACTGCATGGTATAAAATAGCAACTCCACCACCCTATCCTACCCAGTACTCTTTACCCCTCTTACCTGCCTTTCCTTTCTCCATATCACTTCCTACCAGTTGTATATTTGTTGATACATTGCATTGCCTTTATCTGACCCCTAGAATATAAGGCAATGTCTTCTCTTCTCTGCTGTATCCTCAACACTTAAAACAATGGCTGGCATATAGTAGGTGCTTAATAACTATTGAATGAATGAGTGGTTTAGAATGCACCCCTGTGAGTTCACCAAACAGGGCAGAGAGCCAACTGTCTCTGCCCCAACACTGGAGTTTCCCTCTGTGCTTCTGGCATATATATATATGTATATATATATATATATATGTATATATACATATATATATGTATATATATATAGTTCTTCTATAAGAATGGCAAAGCCACAAAATAAATAGCTATATATATATATATATATAGCATATATGAAGTGTATATATATATGTATATATATATATATAAAACTTTCTTTTTTGAAAGATTTTATTTATTTGAGAGAGAGAGAGAGCACGAGGTGGGAAGGGCAGAGGGAGAAGCAGACTCGCCACTGAGCAGGGAGCCTGATGTGGGGCTCGATTCCAAGACCCCAGGATCATGACCTAAGCTGAAGGCAGACGCCTAACCAACTGATCCACCCAGGCACCCCTGTGCTTCTGCTTTTTAATGTTACTGACTTGCTCAGCACTGGGCTCAGCCTGACTCTGCCTATGGAAGCTGACACCAGAGCCTTACCCTCCTGTCCTTCCTTCCTTCCTTCCTTCCTTCCTTCCTTCCTTCCTTCCTTCATTTATTTATTTATTTATTTATTTGACAGAGAGAGACACAGCAAGAGAGGGAACACAAGCAGGGGGAGCAGGAGAGGGAGAAGCAGGCTCCCCGCGGAGCAGGGAGCCTGATGCGGGGCTTAATCCCAGGACCTTCGATCCCAGGATCCTGAGATCATGACCTGAGCCCAAGGCAAACGCTTAACCACTGAGCCACCCAGGTGCCCCACCCCCCTCCTGTCCTTCTGATGCCTATTTTCTGTCTGCCTGATCCTTCCTGCCAGCCACATCTAATCCTCTGGCCTGGCATCATCACCTGTGAGACTCAGGACTGTGGCGAGCCATATTCTGGCTCATCAGGCTCTTAAGCCTGGAACTTGGCAGGCAAGCCTACTCTGCATCCTGCCACCACCCATGCCACACCAACCAAAGGTACCTAATGACTTGCCTAGGAAGCAACCCAAGGAATTGAGAGAAGAGGGTTGGGGGAGGATTTGTAATTTATGCTGTTTGAGCCTTCCCAGGTAGAGGTGGGCTTAGAATGCTGAGCTCTAGAAAGAAGCAGCTCCTACCTCCATGGGCAGGTCTGGGGTTGTGCTGAGTTAAAGATAACATTGTGGAAAAGGAACAGGACAAAAACCTGGTCCAGAGGTGCGGAGAAAGTTTTGAGGGAAGCAAACACCATTGGGCTTCTCAGGGAGAGGCCCAGGGATATGAAAGAGCCAGATGGCCAAGAGTTGGGGATTCAGGAACTCTGTGCCTAGGTCAGTGACCGGGCCCAAGGCACCCGGGGGTAACCTGGCAATCAAATGAGGGGTCCATACAGAGGGAGATGGGTTCCTTGAGTGACCAGGATCACTGTGGCTCACACTGTGGGCAGAGAGGGGAAGTGAGTGGATGTATATTAAGGAGAGAGAGAATTTCCACTGAAAGAGCACCAACTACTCTACTAAACACTTTGCCTATATTTTTATCACAACCACCCTATGAAATGTGTATGATTGTTCCGATTTTACAAGTGAGCAAATTAAAAAACCTCAGACTTGAAATGACTTTCCCAGGGTCACAGCTAGGAAATGGCAGATCTAGAAAATGACTTCTGAGTCCTGGTTCTCTCTACCAAATATGTATTGAACACATATTGTGTAATGTGGGAACTGTAGTGTGATTTTACACTCATTGTCTAATTTAAGCATTATGACAGCACTACAAAGTAAGTATGTATGTTGTCCCTATTTTATAACTTATGAATCTGAGACTCACACCGGTTAAAGGTCTTGCCCAGGTGGTGAGAAGTAAGGCTTAGTTTTAAACCAATGTCTGTCACATTCCAAGATACATAACCTTTTTTACTATATCCCCCCAATAAATATTTGATTAAAAAAAGAATAAGTGAATTAACAAGGACAGATAATTCTTGGAAGGCCTGGAAGGAAACATCTGCCTTGAGAATTGGTTGGTTTCAAGTGGTGGCTGGAGCCATCCCGCTTGAAAGGAAGGGAGGATGTCAGATGTGCCTAGGGGGTGGATGAAGGTGAACTTGGTTTCCATGAGGCTTTTTGGAGCTGTCCTGAGTGGTAACACCTGTAAAGTCTGGGAGCAGGGCCAGCTTCAAGGACATGTGATCTGGGCACTCATACACAGCCTTGTGCACAGTAAGGCCCAGTGCTCAGAAAGGCCTTGCACTTGGTTTAATGCTCTGGTGCCACTGTCTTGACATTCTTAATAATTTTTGAACAGGAGGCTTGCATTTTAATTTGACACTAGACCAGTTCTACAGGGAATCCTTAAGTCTTGGAATGATGGTTCCGTGCCTCCTGGTGTCTACTCTTCCCACTCAAAGTCCATTCTGTTCGTGGTTCCTGAGTACTGTCCCTGAAGCACAGCTCTGGTGCTGCCTTTCTTCCTCGCAAGAACTTCCCATGTTTCCCCATTACTCATCGTTTCACTCCAAATAGCTCAGCCTCCAGAGCCTTCGAAGTCCCCACTTGGTCTGTTTTCTCAGGACTCCTCCTCGTAGACCTACTCCGTCTACCTTCCAACATGCTGACAGTCCCCCTGGGCCTGCCCGGGTCCTCCCTCTGGGCTTCAAAACCTACAGGCTGGGGAAGGTGCCCAGGAGCCTGATGAGGAATTCTTCCTCTCTGCCAGCAGCACCAGCTCCCCGAGAGCAGGGTTTTGATCTATTCTGCTCACTGCTGTGTTCACAGCATCCAGGAAGGGACCCAGCACGTAGTAGGTACTTAGCAAGTAGTGGATAAATAAATGACTAAATAAATGAATTCAAAGCTCTCCACAATCTGGCTTCAACATTCAAATGAATTCAAAGCTCTTCCACAATCTGGCTTCAACCAGGCCTGACTCCTCCGCACTTCAGCCCAATGGAACAATCCTTTGTTCCCCATGTACATCCTGTGCTGTGCCCACAGCTGCATTGCCCCTCTTCTAATTCTCATGTCTTCAAATTTGAGCCATTTTCAAGACCTAGCTCAAAATGCCATTTCCTTGGTTAAGACTCGTCTAAACACCACAGCTGGCGGTGAACTCCCTTTCTGGACTCGGTAGTTACTGGGACCTCTCTTAAATTCCTCTCACTTTTCGTGACATAGCAGGAGAAAACAGATGGGATCAAATCATTTTTCCGTCGCTTGCTGTGTGATCTTGACCAGTCACTTGCCTATCTGAGCCTCAGATACTTTAACTGCGAACTGTACCTACTTTGTAGGGTTGTGCCGTGAATTAAATGAAACAACTCAGTGCTTCATGCAATCAATAATAATAATGTTATTAACAACAGCAACAACAACAATAACAACAAAATGTGTCAGAGAGCCTTCTATGTGTCTGCACAAACATCCTCTGAGGCAGACACTATTATTTTATCCCCATTTTACTGATGGAGAAACAGACCCAGAGGTATAGGAATCTGCTCAAAGTCACACAGCTAGCATGTGGTGAGGTCAAGATTGAAAAGCCAGGCAGCCTAGCCCAGGCCCAGCCTCAGTGCTTCCTTCCTCTCTTGCTCTCCCTTCAGGGCTTCCTAGGGGCTGAGGCTCCCACCCCAGGCAGCAGTTGTATCAGCTCCGGAATTTGCCCCAGCCTGGCCCTACCAAGAGGGACAGCATTTGTTCTGAATTAAAGATGGTTTGTTTTGAAATGCAAATCGTTTGTAATCAGAGGGGCAAGGTAGACATAGATGCATCTCATTCTCTAAACTAAGCCCTGGGCTGCTCACCCAAGGGATATTATTTTCCTTATTCCTTTTCTTGGCCTCGAGGAGGGCATGGTTATAGTGTGGTCTCAATGAGGTCTAAATAAAAGCAAACAAGGGCTAATTCAAAACTGGTTGCTTTGCCACACACACCCTCATGCTCGCTGCCTCTCTGCCTTCTTTTTCGCCATTCTGGCCTTGAATTGGTGACAGCCCAGTGATACTCCAGGGGGAATCTTATGGGGTGCCATGAAACTTTCCTCTAACTCTCTAAACAAAATGAATTTGAACCTGATTTTAACTGAAAAATTAATGGAAACCATGTCATACTTAACTGAGGAGGCCAGAGGAGGGGTGCCTAGAAAGTCCTCAAAGAACCAGGAATCGTGGGACTGTGCACATAAGTGACATAGAGAATTGAACTGATTTTCTGGATTATGAAGCCCAAACCACCTCCGTCTCAACTGGACTGGGGACCACACTCACCAACTCATCCTCTGTAGGGATTAGTTCCTCGGCTTCTGTTCCCTGCCCCATCCCTCCATCCCCACCAAACACCAGGTACTGACAACCCCACTCTCACAGATGTTATCAAAGGGCAAAACTCTCTTCTCTTTCTGGGTGAGGACAAGGTAAGAGAGACCCAGAATCCTCTTTTATGTAATTCAGAAATCCCCTTCCCCTTCCTCAGAATTCCCTTCTTTGTATGGTTCCAGGCTAAGGGTTGGCTACAAGACGAATTCACACAGATTTGGAAGGCAGAAATGCAGCATCAGCCATTGCTCTCTGCAGGTTGATGAAGAGGTGCTGCTGAAGCTGGCCTATGTTGTTATCACTCTGCTGGCTCACCTTGCTGGCATGGGGCAGCTGTCAGGCCAACAGCACTCCCAGCTCCGCAGATCTTGAGCTTCAGTGCGTCCTGGGCCAGGAACACATGCAGTTCTGTGGTGAAGGACACCAAGCTTCTTCTGCAGGTCACCCACAAAGTCTTGGCTGGAGGTGGTGAGAGACAAGATGTAGGTTCTGATTTGTCCTCACTCTCTCCCATTTCATGTTCAGTTTTTCTTCCTGACTGCCAGCCTTGCTCACCTACAATGACTTTAGTCCTACCACCAGATGCAGAGCTCACAGCCTTCCACAGGTTTCTTCATCTGCTCCCAAGATGGTGGAACTTCTAACCCCCATAATAAATGCCTTACTTCAGATCACTCACAGTGGTTCTGCTTCCCTGATCAGGCTCGAACAGACACAGCTCAATAAATGTTATTTTATTAGTATTATTAGATTGGGTATTTCACAGGCTGGGACCAGGTCTTTGTCATCTGTGTGTGTACCAAGGGGCCAGCAGAGAAGCTGTGAGTTGCTTCTGCAGTGTTTGATGAATAGAAGGGATTTGAATCAAGGCTCCAGACAATCATCCAGTACTTTCTGTGACCCATTATGAGCTAAGTCTTGGAGAGGGAGGATGGATACATAAATGAAATTGGATGCAGTTAATGTGCTTCAGCCCAAGAGGATATAGAACACTAAAAATCAACAATGACTAATGGCCAATGATAATAAGAATAGCTAACACTTATTGACCACATTGCATGTATTACTCCATTTAATGCTCACACTAGCTTCTGAAGCAGGTAGGATGTGTGAAACTCAGAGAAAGTAAGTAGTTTGCCCAAGCTGACACAGAATACAGAACGTGGATTCCAATGGAAGAGCTCAGGCTCCAGAGCCCATGTGGGGCTGCAACCGCTGTGCCAGGTAGTATCTCCCCTAGTGAGGGAGCCCCTGAGGAGTCTGAAGCAAACTCTGTCCCAATGCTGCTGAATGTGAGAGCTCAGAGGCTGATGGGGGAGAACCCTAGGCAGGGGGCAAGGGCCAAGGGAGGCTTCCTGGCAGGACCATGGGGCCTGAGTTTGGCCCTGAAAACTAAAAAAGGACTGAGCCAATTCCCCTTCGCCGTCTCTACCCATCTGTCACCGAGTTCTATTAATGCTCATTGGAAATGCCTTTAATTATACCCTTTCTCTCATTTCAACCCTCCTGTCCCTGCCAGACTTCAGACCCTCTGTATCTCCAGCCTGGACACTTGGCCCAGCCTCTTCCTCCTTGACCTCTTGGCCCCCAGTCTTACCTGTTCAAATCCATGCTGCCTTCGAGAGCTATCTTTTTCAAACTCAGCTCTGAAAATGACATACCTACAACTCAAGATCATGCCTCCACCACCTATTAGGGTCCCATGGGATGAAATAATAACGTTAAGATTGAACCATATGAGGTTGCTGGTTTTCAACTGTTATTGGTGTACAAAAATGACAAAATCCTCTCATTCTTCTAATATTGGTAATACTAATAGCCATAGATTATTAAGCCCTTATACTGTGTTAAGGCTAGACACAGGCCTCCAAACACATCATTCCCACAAGTTTCCCATTCTCTTCCTCTGTTGTCTATCTGTCTCTTTGGGCTTTTCTATCTTACTCTGTCTGCTTCAGCATGTTTCCCTCTTTACCTTGATTTCATTTTCTCTGTTGTGGCTTCTCACTGTTTCCCACACTTACTCGGTCCATCTCCCTCCCAGAGTTTTCTCTCTGTCTCTGTCTCTCTGATTCTCCATCCCTGTCTCTATCTCTCTGTCTCTTGCTGTCTTGCTTATATATCTGTCGCATTATTTCTGTGTGTGTGTGTGTGTGCGTGTGCACGTGTGTGCATCTCCAGACCTGTTTCTTGACCTCCCAGGATGCTGGTGTCCATGAGGTCCACTTGAAGCTGAGGCTCAGGACTTCCTTGACTGGGAGCTGGGGGGACAGAACAGACTGGCTCAGGCATCAGGCTCAGGGGGCCCAGTCCATCCTCAAGCCCAGAGTGCCCTCAAAAAGGCAGTTCCAGAAGCTTGTGGCCTGCCCTGGGGCTGCAGTCTCATCCTGCCTGCAGCCAGCAAGGCAATTGGTGCAGATGGCAATCACCCAGATGTAAAACCCAGCTGTGCAAATTAGCCCAAGGCCTGTAAGAAATTAGACTGGATCTAAAAGAGATCAGGCTGTGGAAAAGGAAAAATGTTAGTTAAAAGAGAAAATTCTTACTCCCACCTCCAGGTCATAGATCACAGAAGAGAATCCTCAAGCCATGAGGGACTTCAAGGGGCCATCTGGCTTGGCTGCACCTCAGAGCAGGTCAGGCCCCAACCAGCCAAGACAATGTCTGTCTTTCCATCTTTTAAGAACACAGGCCAGAGATTTTTTTAGTGTCTTTCCCCAGTACCTTGTTCTGGGAATAAATCCCTGCACTGTGAAGACATTTCAGGGAGAACGCAGACCCATGGAATCACTCATGGTAGCACCCAAATTTGCAACCAAGCCCCAAATTGCCTTCCTCAGTCTTCTACATATCAGTGTCCAATACCACCATTTACCCAGATGCTCAGGCCATAACCTGGGAGCCTCCTTTCTTTCTCTTACCCACCTTGTCCAATTATTCAATAAACCTGATAGCTCCAACTCTCAACTGTATTCCCAATCTGATTCCTTGCACAACAGCAACACTTACCACCATGGGCCAAAAGCCTCCATTATGTCTATCTGGATGGCTGCACACCTCCTCAGTCTCCCTGCCACTCCACTGTTGCCCTGTACACTCCATTCTCCAGAGAAGCTGGGAATATATTTTAAATGGTTATGTCATTCATATCATGCAATTCTTCCGTTTAAAACCCTGCTTTGCCCTCTTATCACACCAAACCCCAAGTATTCACTGTGGCTGATGAAGCCCTATGTCATCTAACCACATCCCCCCCTCACTCCCCACTTCACCCACTCTACTCTAGCCACACTGTCCCCTTACTATTCCTTGAACATACCAAGCTCATTCCCTTCTCAGGGACTTTGCCCTTGCAATTCCCTGTCCTTAGGATATTCTTCCCCCAGATCTTCACATGGTGCCCTCCCTTCCTTCATTCTCATCTTTACTCAAAGATCACCTCCTCCAAGAGGTCTGCTCTGACCATCCTAGCTACAACAGCCCCCGCTTCAGCTCTACTCACAAATACCCCTTAGTCTACAACCTTCCTTTAGTTTTCATCAAAGCACTTATCACTGCCAGGTATCATATTTCATATTTATTTGATGATTGGCTGCCTCCATCTCTGTTTGCTTAATGCCCAGAATAGTGCCTAGCACTTGGTAGGTACCCAATGGTGATTGAATGGATGAATGAAATCCTATTGCTTATAAACTGTGTGACTTTAGGCAAGTTACTTAACTCTTCTAAGTTTTAGTTTCCTCATCTCTAAGATGGGAAAAATTGCACCTACCTTGTGAGCTCTTGTGAGGAGTAAATGAGATAATAGATATAATGAACACAGTGCCTTGAACTAGAAATTACTAATTATTAAAATGACCATTGCGGTTTCTACCAGATTTTTCTGGTTCTGTCCTCAATGGAAGCAGAGAGCAACTACCCTCCTCCCCGCCTTCATGTTAAATAACTCCAATCCTCTTCATTTTTGTTATGTTAGAATGTGGTGGTATGGGAGGCAGGAGATGAAGGGAATAAAGGAACATGGCACTTAGCTGCTAGCTTCTTGGAATCTGCCCAGGGCAGGAGTGAGCCACAGACTTTAAATCAACTCTCAAATATGCTAAAAGAGCTAAAGAAAATCATGGATGAAGAATTAAAGGAAACCAAGAATATGATGTATGAATGAGAATATCAATAAAGTTATAGAAGTTATAAAAATAGAAAATCCAGGACTGAAAATTACAGCAACTGAAGTAAGTGTGAGCCATAGATGTCCCTTTCTTCTACTGAGAGCCCATAGGACAGGTGGCCAGGGTCTCTGAGGTCAAAGTGTAAATCCCATGAGATTCAAAAAGGAAGCATTTAATTACCATTAAGAGGTCTTAAAGTCAAATAGACCTGGGGTTCAAACCCAGCTCTATGGTGTTACTTTGGGCAGTGGCTTACCTTCCCTGGCCTCAGTGATGGTAATCCCAGTAGTCTGCCAGGAGGAAGAACTGAGTACATGCAAAGCACTTAGGCCAGCACCTGGCATGTGGTCAGCATTCCCTAAATGGTAGCTATTATTACAAGTATTATCATGATCTCATCCCTCCCTTTCTCCAGGCAGCTCTGCACTCCAACGATTCTCTAGGAATCTGACTCAAATCCTTTAAACCATCTCACCATGCTGCCAGAAAAACCAACCCTGCTTCAGAATAGTCACAACACATGGAGGTTTCGCCCTGCACAGAGCAACAGGGTACCAACTTTTCCTATGGCCAAGAATATCCAGGCTGGAGACACCACCCCTACTGTTTGGTACCTATGGGCAAGAAGCAAAGACCCAAGTGACACTGGCAGAGTGGCAGAGCTCCAAACCCATCACTCCATGGAAACATCAGAAAGCACACAGAAACTATCAGTATCAACTTTGCCAGAACTCTGGAAAAGAGTCAAAGTTATATAGCAACCAAGCAAACATTGAATCAAGAAAAAAGGCCACATTAAAATGCTCCTGCTTTTCAGGGAACTCTCTGTCAAAGCACTAGCTGAACACAAGGTAAAGGGAACAGAGTCTTCAGTAGCCATACATGACAACAAATATGATCTTTTCAAAAATAGCTTGGAAAATGTACTAAATAAATGGAGGACTGCAACCTTTAACAATGAAGAAGAGCAAACCCTGGGGAAGAGGACAATCTTATTACAGGGTTACCACATTATAATATTTAAATGTGCACTTTTCAACAAATATCACAAATGCATACAAAGAGAAAAAAAATATGGCCCATTCAAAGGGGGAAAAAAGGAAGCTCAAATATTAGACTTACTAGACAAAGACTTTAAATCAACTGTCTTAAATATACTCAAAGGACTAATGGAAACTATGGTCAAAGAACTAAAGGAAACCAGAAAAGCAATGTATGAACAAAATGAGAATATCAATAAGATAGAAATTATATTTAAAGATAGAAACTGAGCACCTAAAAGTATAATAACTGAAATTAAAAGTTCACTGGAGGTGGGGTTCAACAACAGATGTAAACAAAGCAAAGGGCCTCCGTTTCCAGAAGCTGGCTGAACATACACTTTCCAAGTATCACTAACCTCTAAATGTAGCCGAATGGCTTTCCTCCCAAATCCCCCTTTGGGCAGAGACCAGAAATGGAAAACTTTTAGGGTCCTTTGGTATATTTAAAGGGCCTGCACCCAGGGTGGCCTGAATGCAGTCTGAACTCACAGTGCCACACCTGAGGTGGTGGGAAAAGGTATTCCAGAGTCCCTGGAGTTCTTGAAATTGTCAACACCTCCAGGGTGCACCTTTGCTTGGGCAAGGGCCCCTCTCTACTCTCCTTCTGCCTCATCTCTGGCAGCCTAGTGTCCTGCTTCCCTAGTCCCACACCTCTCCACTACCAACACTTCAATAACAAGCCCATTGTGTACTATAGTCTAAACCCCAACCCCACCATTTTACAGGTGGGAAAATTGAGGCCCCCAGAGGGATTGGGCTGCTGAACATGTGTGGGTTCAGCACATGGAGCCTCCCAGGAGCCTGCAGGAATGCCATTCTCACTCATTCCTTCCATAGTCCTTGGGCTGACCTACTTTCACACTCTGGACATACCTTTTCTTACCTGACTCTGACATGCTTAAGGTTGGGAAAGGCCTAGGGAAGCCTCTAAGTCTGAACCCCAGGAAGACCTGCTGATGGTCGGCTTACTGATTATCACCATCATTATCAGATGGCCTTTCTTGCCCATGCACATTTGCCCGTAGGCCCATGTGTCCACCTCCACCCAGCCGCCAGCCCACCATGAGGGTGACACCAGGGCCATGGGACACACTAGGATCTGCCCCAGCTCAGCTCAACCTGCCCAGGCCGCTGTTGTCCCTGGAGCACCCCACTGACACCAGATCTGCCTAGTGGGAGGTGGGGGAACAGCTGGCCTTTGCCCCCAGCCCACTCCTCTTGCCCTGTCCTGCTCTCTTTCCTTCATCTCCCTCCTCTGCTCATGGAACTTACTTATAAATCCTGAAAACCCAAACCCCCATAAATTCTCAATTCATTCTGCAGATATTTCCTGTGTTGGGGTTTTCAGCAGCATCTGCTGGTTTGAAGTTCCCTCTTTATTTGTCCTGGGGGCACCATTACTCTCAACTTTAGCAGTTTTCCTGCTCTGTAGTCCTTGCCAGACTCCATCGAAGGAAGAGAAAATTGGTGAAAGAATAATTATTATTATTGTTATAAATATATATTTCATTTTGGTTTCTTTTTTTTCCCTCTAGGGCTTGATGAGAATCCCAGGCAGAGGTTGGCAAAGGGATGGCTTCTTCGTGGACCTCAGGGTACTGGGCTTGCCCTGTCAGAGCCTGGCATTTTGCCCTCCCAATAAAGGCATCTGCCAAAAAGCCATTCTCTGCTATTCTGCCCAACTGTACCCAGTTCTCTAGCAGCTTTATTCCCACCAAAAACTCCTGGCCCCAAGTCTCCAGGAAGTCTCCTTAAGCAAGAAGCAAAGCACCTACTGCATATGAGACACTTTCAAATGTGTGGGCTTGATTATTTCTCACCATATCCTTATAAGTAGGGCATTTAAGTCCCATTTTACAGAGGAGGAGACAGAGGCTCAGAAAGGAGAAGTTCATGGTTCAAGGATATCCAGCTAGCAAGTGGAAGAGCTGGGATTTAAATCCAGGTCTGTCTGGCCCCAAAGCCAGTACTTGTTCCATTGGATGACATTCCCTTCCCTCCTGTGAGTTCCTGAAGGACCTCTTTATGAACTCCAGTATATCATGCTTG